ATACCTACCTACCTATCTATCTATCTATCTATCTACCTACCTACCTACCTACCTACCTACCTACCTACCTACCTACCTACCTACCTAACTACAACCGATCACCTGTCTCTAAAGCCTCCCATCCGAGCCTCGCATTCATTCATCCATTCTTTCTTTGAGAAACTTTTCAACAAACTCCTCTACCATACTGAGGAACTGATCCCATGCAACTCTCCCCAACAGCTGACTGTGTTCCGCCCTTTCTTCGTGAGTTTGAACCTGCCTTACTCTGTGACCAATGGAGAGCAACTAGCCCTACAGGCCATTGTGTTTAATTATCTGGATAGTGACGCACAGGTATGAACAAATGACATGTGTGAAGGAGAAATAACACATTTCGCAAATAAGACAAAGGCTCAAAATCATAAATCGACCATGTGAAGTAAATTATTGAACGACGGATATATTTCTTTAAAAGGCGGACAGACAAAAATAGATTACACTAAAGCAAGGAAAACGACGCAATTGTAGGAACATCTATGCGAAATAGTAGAAAGAAAAACTATACAGTTTAGAAAAACAGTATACACGCAAAGGAAAACAACACACAGATGAGATTGACGACATAAAATAAACGAAACAGAGATGAAAGAAAATCTACACACACGCAAAGCACCTGTCATCTACAGGAGTCAAGGAGCATACGCTGTACTCATGTAATAGTTCATGATTCTAGTCAAACGGTAACTGCCCTTTACAGAGCTATTTATCCTTGTGTCATCAGAAAACACTGAAAACCATATTTGACCATAATGACCGGAATGCTCCTTGTTTGTGTATAATATCACAACCTGTACAAAGAGTTCTTTATGATGACCCGCTAGTTCTCCCAATACAGTGATGTTGTATCTCTCACCTTGAAAGAGTTTATTCTGAACCGCAAAAGCGGTATGCCAGATTGTGCTAACACAGGGACAAAACAACCCCATAAAATTGTTTCAATTAAAGTACCTGTCATCATAGCCTGCGTCTAGGTAATCGTGTAAAGCGACCGTTATAACATGGACGTAATCAGACACAGATATTGGGTTTGCATTTTGCGTTAGATAATATTAATGTGTACATGTTCAAATGTTTAGCACTTTAAAAAAAGTTTTGTGTCTGGTTGTTTCGTGTTTTTATTTTTCATAAACCGTTGAATATGTTTCTATTCTGCGTGTTTTGAAGTTATCGATGGTTTCCCTTTACTTCGTGTTTTTCTTTAGGTTCGCGTGACTCTAACAAAGTCTAAGAGCTTTATGAACATCTTCGTTGACAACAACGGCGTGGAGGGAACGAAGCAAGAGGACGCCGTGCAAGATGTATTGGTGAGTGAGAGAAGAACGACGTTGATGAATAGAAATGTGGTGATGACAGAGAGATGGACTTCCTAAACGTGCGAGGACTGTCACAGTCCGAACTAGGAAAAAATGTATTATGGAATGAAAAAGGAAAAATACAAAGTTCAGTATCGTTGTAGGTAAGAATGCAAAGGTGACCATAAAAAACGTGTTAGTGACTGGAAAACCCGAATTGATAAAACAAAGTCTCTCCTTGGGCGTGAGTGGAAAAGAGCAAAGATCTTCGAAGATCTAATCCACTCATTTCGGGTTGGACCTCACAGTCACTGTTGAATAAAACCGGCCTCCTAAATTATCTAATTGCGTTCACGGCAGTTGAAACGATTTCAGAATAATGCAATGAATTAAGAACCTCTTATATAATTTTTAAACTCACAAAATTTGATGCGTTCTGTTTTCTCACAGGTGAAGTCTGGAGAGGCAAAATCTGTGTATTTCCCCATCGTTCCAATTGACCTTGGGAAGATCGATGTGGAGGTCAAGGCACAGAGCACCCGTGCCGCGGACGCCGTGAGAAGACAGCTGCTGGTGGAGGTGAGGACACACAGATCCCATCAAAACTTTCAGCAATCTAATTGCTAATTGCCGGAGTCATCACCAGTTTTTGTTAGGTTTTGGTTGGGGGGTTTTTTTGGAGGGGGGGTGGGCGGTTGTTTGTTTCTTTTAAACTATTTTTGTCAGTGTTCTATGGTGCTCGCAACTGCATACGGTAATATGAGCGTGCGGGACACATTAAACATTTTTCGTTTGGTAGGAATTTTTGATTTTGCCCGGATGGCGGCCGAAGCCCACTTTTATCGATTTTGGACCACCAAGGGATCTTAAACGTGCGCAACTTGCACACGGGACCTCCAAATTTTTTTGGCCCTATTCCGAGAGGGTTATGTGTTTGATTTTTCCTACCATAGATTCAGGGGTGCGGCTGAAAGACAGCTGTAAAAAGGGGCCAAGGCGTAGCAGTAGAAAGGCTGCAGAAAGAGTCAGGCGCCCAGAGATGGGGGCAAAGGGGAGGGGGTGGGCAGAAAGTGAAGGCGAAAGCAGACGACAGAACATGGCAAGAGGGCAGAAAAGGAGGTGAAAATGGAACAATTTAGAGAAGAAAATGTTCCGTTGCTGTCAGGAGAACCTCTAAATTCTCAGGCCAAGAAAATAGCCTTTACAGTCAGAAATCCTGATGGTGTTTCTATCGCCCCCAGCTATCTATCCGATTGCGGCAGCTGCGTTTGGCGTGAACGACGGTGCAGGGGGCGGAGGAGGGCTTGCGCCTCCCTCTGGAGGAATGCCTGCCCCTGCCTCAGGGGGTGGGGCCTCGTCACAGTTAAAGGAGGTGGAGCGTGTGCGCACTGACTTCTCAGAGACGTGGCTATGGGAGGGGCTAACTACTGGGTATTCATGCTCCCCCCTCCCCCCCCCTGAAAGGTCATACGCTACCACACACCTTTTTCGTTTTCCCGAGTGTGGAAAAAAGTTTGTTAGAATTAGAGGGTCTGGGAAACTGCTAGAATTCTAGATCTACCTTTCCTCCTTCGGGATTGTATTTGTGACAGTATTTATTGAATAGGCTCATAGTGATACCTCTGAAGGGTGATGTACATATGCACAAATTAATATAACTGTCATGTATGTATTTTATGTAATCACGAATATCATACGGATATACTATACATTCTTCTAATTAATTATTATTGTGTTTGCGTGGAGGAAACATATTGTTGAAAAACAGATATGGGCGACGTGAATATTATGTTCTAGTGTGATATACAAATAAGTCATAAACACAATTTTTAGGACACTGAGAAATGTGTCTTTAAATGATGACCAATAGCCACCTCTCCTCAATCATCTACCCCCCCCAACCCCCCACCCTTTATGTTCATATTCCTTCCCAGTCTCTTACTTCTTTTTAAGAAAGAAGGAAAGAGACAAAGACATGCAGAGAACAGAAAGAAAAAAACAAAAGGAAGAAAAAACGGAAGGAGTGATGAACAGAGATTAGTACAGAAGTTCAAAATAAAAATAATGAACTTGTCTGTATTCAACGAAAGGTCTTGAATTTGCAAACAGTTTCCTATCATGAGCTCCGGGGGAGGGGGGGGGGATTCGCCTCTTGTCCTATTCAAAGAATAATTCGGATACTTTCTTTCTGGAAACAATTTTCAGGAGAGCCATTGTTGGGAGGTTTCGAATTCCTCGATTCCATCTCCCTTGAAAAACAGAACTATTGGGTAGGATAAATGGTGGCTGAGTGGTCAGAGCTCCCCATCAAACGCCGCGTCAGGAAGTGATGCGAGTGCGCAACCGTTTCTCTGAGACCTGATTGTGGGCGGGTCTTCCTGTTGGGTACACCATTCCTCGGTTCTTCTTCGCTAGATAATACTCGTACATAATTCCCCGCGGTATCGCTCGTCAATGCTGCTTGATTCTCTGTACAGAACCCCAGAACGGCATCCTCGTTTTTCAGTCCTCTCTCTAAAATAACATTTCAGTAGATTGCCGTGCAAGGTCCACATATATAGCCACATGGTAGGAGCACTAGGAAGATAAACTACGGTAGTGTCAGATCAGAAGAGAATCAGAATCGGGGCAGATGAAATACGATGGGACAAGACCTAAATAGATAAAGAGCTCATGTTAATATAAAATTAGAAAGGATAAGATATTATTATTAGATAATGCAATTAAGTTAGATAAGATAACAAGATACCATGCAATTATCGCCTGATTGAAAAAAAACCTCTTGTCTCAGAGATGGTGCCATTAAGGGGGGTAGCTGAATATTGTAATTTCTCATCTGCACACGTTTCATTAGAGGCTTGATCGAAACAGCTAAATTGCTGACTCTGAACTGATGCTCGTCCATGCCCTTGCTCGTTTCTCTGTTGCTTATACAGTTATGGTCTGGTTCCCTCAGTAAAATATATCTTGTCAAGTCGTTTTGCCACTATGTGTGATGATCGCCTTTTTCTTGGCGTAATTCTCTCGGGAAGATTTTCAAGTGTAAATTACACTAAAACGAGATGGAGGAGGTTCATAATAAATAACCTTGTACTCCCAAACACCCCCTACGCCACC